ATGCGCATGCATACATACATACATACATACATACATACATACACACACACATATACATACATACACATACATACATACATACATACATACGTACGTACGTACGTACGTACGTACGTACATGCATGCATGCATGCATGCATGCATACATACATACATACATACATACATGCGAAGGAAGCTTGGAGCTCAGGAGGCTGATATGTCTTAGGGTCTATAGACTGACATACTCACTCAGGCATCCCTTCTGTAACCTCACTCCAGACACCGCCTTGTCGTAAACTCTACAAACATAGGGACTATTATATGATAATATATAAGGTATAATAGAAGCCTATAATTAATGTCTATGTGTATTATGATATAGGGATTATTAAAGGGATCCACTCCCCCACTCTACACCCGAAACCGTTGATAGCTGGCCTCAGGACAGCATAGGAGCTCCATCCAGCCCAGGTACAGCCTCCGCATGCGAAGACAGAGACAGGATTCTTCACAGCAAACATGGCACAAAAATGTTTTGGATTTGTTTAAGCCCCAAACCCTAAACCCCAAACCCTAAACCCTAAAAGTAGGGGTTCGAAGGTTTAAGCATGGTCAGGGTCTAGGGGCTTCAGGCTTTACAATCAAAATCAGGCTTCAAGGCACTCAAGGTTGATGGCTTTGAGCGAGAAGACTGAGTGCTTGCCCCTGAAGTACTATGCACCTGCAGGCAATGAGAACACTTACAAGAAACCCTAAACCCTAACCCTAAACCCCTAAACCCTAAACCCCAAACACTACGAGAGATGCTGTAATCAGCTGGAGCTGCGTCCGCAGACGTATGCTGGAAACATCAGTATGGCAATGCATGTTACTACTATTATCAATATTCCTATTATCAGTATTACTAGTATCATTGCTATTATTAATATTGTTACTATTATGCCTGATGCTCTTATGGTCGTAGCTTTCTGTTGCTCGGTGTTGCATCCTGTGGCGGCACACGCTTCTAGTCCCGCAACCACTTGGACCCGACATATCCCACCCGATTATTGCCCATGGCCTCTTGATTATGAACCCTAAACCCTGAACCCCAACCCTAAACCCAAAAACACCAAACTTGAGGCTCAAAAGCCTTCACGCCTACGACCCTCCCTAACGCCCAAACCTGTAGCCGGAAAGCCCAAGCGTCAAACCTTGCGCAAACCTATCTTGCTTTTGGTTAGCTGGGAATGAAGGAATGAAAAAGAAGATGGAAATTACTATAATGGGCATGTAGGGTTTAGAGCTCAAGGTCAGAAGGAATGGAAAATAGAAACTACTCTAATGGGTTACATAGGGAATACTCTAAGGATCCATTCCTTCATTCCCTAGCCAACCAAAGAACCATTCGGGCTTCGGAAAAGGTCCGTATAGCTCCCATATTTTCCCCAGCATATGAAGCACTTTAAGCAATTGACCTCAAATGCTCCTGCTAAGTGGCAGGCTGGGTTGCTGGTAAGGAACTTAAAGTCAGATACTATAGCAAGGAGACATATTTTTCACTATGTACCCATATTATGGCAGCTTAAACTCTATACTGAAAACGTATAATGAGGAACCATACCATGTACTACAATAAGTTTAGTTAAGTTCCTGAACAGCAACCCAGTTGTGGCTCAGGCTCCCGCCTCTCGCTGAAGTACAGGTGCCGGCCAGAGTTTGGAAGAGGCCGGCCATAGATGAAAGAGGCAACGACCTCAATTCTAGGGTTTAGGGCTGAGCGTTTTGCTACTCAAGCAAATTTGGGAACTGTGGAATCGGTTAAAGGAACTACTTTTGGGCTTATTCTGGGAGAATCGGGATCCACCCCACATTCCCCGCAAGTACATTCCGATGTGCAGGGCCTCCAGAAATTGCAATGCTTGGAGGGATGTGGGGGGTACCTTTCTGGGTAAAACTCAACTGCACCACTTCTTTCCCAGGGGAACTAATAGCATGTCTGTCGCAAGTGCTGCTCCTGAGGTCGTGGCACCCATGTTGGCGACGGCAGCTAAGTCTTAAGATTCAACACACGTTTGTGCATCAATTGCCGGATAATCTTGCCATTGTGCAGTCCAAACACTCAGGAAATCAGCTGCAAGGGTGCTTGAAGCATCTCAAGCAAAGGTTCATGCAGGAAGGCATGAGCTGTGACTGCACGTTTGCCCTATGCGCTGGAGCCATGCAGGTCAACGGTTGGCAGGGGCCATGACAAGGGTCATCTGATGACCACAAAGCTCAGGTATGCTTGTCAGTATACTGCTTAGATTGTATGGCTCTCGTGATGGTTGCACTGGTACTACGGCTTTGCACACTTGTAATGGATCCAAACAATATTACCAACTTGCATTTTTTGGGGATTACCAATGAGATTCCAGCTCGCCCACCCCATCAAACCCTGAAAACAAGACTTGAGTGAGGCAGAATTTAGAGCCTTGCGCACCCTTCATGCCCTTCATTTCAAACTTGCTCGGAACTGACATGTCCTGGGTTGTTCTGAAAAACGTCTAACGTGGCTCGGTTGGAGTGTAGTAATTACTGGGACATCTGTAACGTGGTCCTGCAGAATGCAACCGACTGTTGAAGAGCTGTCTCACTTGGAGGTTCATTGGCTCTCAGAACTCCGTTTATGAGCAGGATAACTATGGCCAGACTTGATTGCAACCTTATTTGGGGTGCGGACGTCCCTTCTCGTTGATGCCTATGAACCGCCAAGTACAGAAACGGCGATCGGACCGGCTGATGCAGCACCTCTTGTGTCAGGGTGAAATGTCTGATGGTAATTCAGCATCGAGAGACATAAGAGACTCAGGTGCTACAGACTCTGGAAATTCTCCTTCCTCCAAGGCCTTGGGCAAGACACGGAATGGGTGCGACAGATGCGTGCAAGCGTCTCCTCTCTTCCCTCTCACGTCAGGCAGCATGCATGTGACAGCAACAGCCAAATGACATTTGTAGATTATGAGCAGCTTCAACCCACCACACACCTACATCATGATGAGCATCGATTCATAGAGTCAGAGCGTGTGAAACCCTTGAAAACTGCATTTTAGATGTAGTCACAGGGCGGTGTAGCGACGTAGCGCCTTCCCTAAACTCCGACAAGAACGGCAGCCGGGATAGCAGGACCCCCCAAAGTGACAATGATTTGCTTGAGATCAAGCCGCCCCCCTCTCCCTCCTCCAAAACACTGCCCTGAATGCCCAGGACACATTCAAAGTGTGGTTTACCATGCACGCTGTAGCCACAACCCAAGACTTCCCAACCTATAACAATCAGACACGTACATCGCGAATCAATCTGCAGCCGTGCTGCACGTGTCAGGGCAGCTGCAAAAGCCTCTGGATCCTGAGCGCAGGCTTCAACGGGCTTATGACATCGGCTTCAAACAATTCGGGTTCAAGACTATATGTTGGGTACCGCCCCGAACAGTAACAGTCTATGAACGGGGTAAGATCAAATAATATTACCGGCTCGAAATGAATAAAAATGTGTGTATACATACATACATACATACATACATGCATGCATGCATACATGCATACATGCATACATGCATACATGCATACATGCATACATGCATACATGCATACATACATACATACATACATTAAGTA